TAAGGATGTTTTACGTATGTCTTAGTAATCATAGCCTAACAGAATTTGAGACCAAAATCGAAAAAAAAGCGATCAAAGAGTCCGAAAGATCAAAAATCAAAAAATTAACAATTGGCTTATCGCGGACAGCTAGTGATTTATATAAACTGAAACAAAATAAACAAAATGTCGCTGTGGCACGTGACAGTTTTCATGCACATAAGCTGAATAATGCTCTTTTCGTATATATCTGCGATGGAGTAAACATGGTTCACACACTTGCATTGGTATTCCTGTGTACCTGCTTAACATTTATTCTCTATCATTTATTGTTCGGGTTGACTTGAGTTCGGTGATGGATAATACGGGAAGGCAAACAGATTCAATAGAGAATAACCTGACGTAGCTGAGCATGGCGCGGGGGTGCACTTCAGTAATCTTACTAGCATCAGTCCACATCAATTGACCGGGGACAGTAGCAATCTCTAGTGACATATTTCGCAGTTCCTATTTATGTTGTAATTTCGAAACTGGACAGCGCTGTGCCACTTCTGAATCCAAGTGCGGAAATGCTATCTTTCTTGCTAGGGCACTGTACGCAAGATCTCCAAGGGCGTAACGTTAATTAAAATTATCGCAGATTTCAGTTGGTGCAGAAAAGACAGCCATGGTACTATCGTGGAAAGCTAGCCGGAATGCAAACGCTCTACGATGGCCTAACGTTCCTGACTGTCCTTGGCGGTGGACATATGGCAGCAGAGTGGCGCCGACCGCAAATGCAATTTGCCGTTAAAAGATTCCTGTCGAAGGAAGGAATTTCTGACTGAATTCGGATTTGCGCTATTTGTCGTATCAATGAATGAATGATGAAATGCTGAACATCACCAACATTTTCCAAGCTTCTACGAAATAGCTGAGTGGACCGCCAATTTCTCAGTACAGATGCCTTCTTGGCCGCCGATATGCCGTACAGCAATCGAAGAATTTTCGATCTGAATGCGCTTAAACGTGCCTAGCAGCCAAGTACCACTGCATAAAACTGTAGGTAAATAACCCGTTGTGAAAAAGCATTTCAATCAGCTGCCGATTCAAGCAG